GTAGTGGTGACGGCATCATGGCAGGATCGATGGGCGAGCTCTGCATGTGGCTATCGGTAACACCCTTACTCAGAATCTGCTCATCTGGCCTCAAGCCCAGATCTAAGCTTGCTGGTGGTTCAGGTTCCCTCGAGGCGACTGAGACTTCTCCGTCAGATTGAGGCGAGTTCCCTTCTTCCATCCGGAGACGGTCCACCTGCGCCGTCGAGGGTTGGGCCTGCAACTCCTTGACTTTCTTCCTGTATCTGTCCCTCTCTTTCGTCAGCCGCTCAAGATCCTTGTTCAGACCTAGTAACAGCGCCCTTTGTTTGTCGACCAGTTTCCACAGTTGGGCATTTTGAGCAGCAGCGTGACCTTTGTCCTTCAAGAGGTGCTGGATTAGGTTCTCCGCAGAGCCAGCTGTGGCAATGAGATTCTGGACTTCTTCTCGCGTGAGCTCTTTGACCTCTCCGAGTTGTTTCTGAGCATGCGAAGCATTTGAGATGTTGGAAATGGCGGAATCGATTGAGGATGTCCGCGGCATATTGTTCGGTGGGTGCACGCTAGCCGAAGAAGAAGAAGCGTACGACTTTGGGGATTCCAGGAGAGCTGTAACCCCTTGATCCTTTGCACTCTGAGAGGTTGATAATACGCTTGATTCCAGCTCGTCGGGCGGCGCAGTGCTGTTGTGGCACTTTTCTCGTGTCAGGGCAGCCTCGCCCTCCGTTGTATTTTTGACGAGCCTCTTCCCAGATTCATTAGGAGTGGGCACCTTCTCGTACAAGGTATTATCATCCGCGACCTTGCGCTGCTGGTCCGAGGGCGACCTCGAGCTGGATAACGAGCTCAGGTAGTCTCGAGGGATTAAACTCCCCTGTAGCACGGCGGGACTTTGTGGTTTGCGGGAGGCCAGAATATACGAATGAGGGCTGGCCAGCGAGGAGGTTGAAACACCAGCGGCTGTTTGGGCCAAACGATCCTGGGGAGACTGAGGGGGAAGTGTGTCGGCGGTCGACTGGGACATTTCGGGCAACTCGATCAGGCTGCATAGGGAATGGGGGGGTTGCTTCTTGGACTTCGAGCCATTATTGGCACCAGGATCGGGAGAGAAACACTTGGAGACCGCTGACAGGCCAGCTGCTCGAAGCGGCGCAAGGACAAAGTTGACAAAGTTGCTAGAGGCTTTGCAGCACGCAGAACAGCCAAACGGAGACAGCGGCGAGGTTGAGGACGGTGTCGATTTGCTCGTGCTGCTTCACAAAATGAACGAGTGAGAAGGGCAGGGGAGGGCAAGCATCAGGTGGCGGCCGTAAGCGCCGGGAGGCACGTCCAGGCGGAGGCGATTGGCCGTGAGCGAGGCCACTACCTAGGTAGGCACTTAGGCCAACGAGGATAAGAGCTGGACGATTCAGATTCGATGGGCAATAATACGAAGAACAAGACGTGGAGGTGGAGAGGACTGAGAGGAGCAACAGAATGGAGCGTGCTTGAGGCTTGAGCGTGGCCTGCCAATCTTCCCACTGGCTGCGACTGGCTGCGACTGGCTGCGAGCCTGCAACTGGCCTGCCACGGTTCCCACTCGTTTGGCCACCAACACCACGGCCACCGCCAAAGACGCAATCATGCACCGACGGAATGTCCCTCTCCCCACCTTCGCCAATGAACATGGCCAGCAAAGATAAAGGTCGGTCTAGCAGAGAAAGAGACAGGGTGAGCTTCCACCATCTGTCAATTGGAACGGGCTTGATTTCGAGCCTCCCTCTCAAGGTCTCGTCTCGCGCACCCACCAACATTTCACCTGAGGAATCTGCGCAAATTGGTTTCAAACGGTCGCGGGAAAAGCATGAAACAAACGTGACCCGGTCCGCTTTCTGGAAACCAAATCCTCTTGATCAAAAAGCTTGCCTACCTATGGAACAGTAGGTAGACAGAAACAACCGACGCGACCCTCCCTCTTGCCTAACGCTGCACCTTCACGCATCGTCCAAGTTCCTTATGGCGCGCCGATCAGATTCTGGACCCTGAAAATCCGAGAAGCGAAGCGAAGGTTACCAGGGCCCCTAGTAAAGGCACCATGCCCATCGTGACATCTTTACTCCTTTCCCCTGCTTCAAGCACTCGTATTATTGCAGACAAGAGGAGGGCGAGAGTTGATCCTAGGGGGCGACGGACACGGACATGTTTCTCTGCTCGTGCACCGCCAGGGCTCCCTCATCCAGCATCGTTACCACCTCGAACCGACGCTCGGATCGTTTCAGCTGCAGGAACCCGAGCATCCCCAGTCCTTCCGTGTGATTGGCCTGCCCTGGGCTTCGCTCAAGTCCAATCAACCTCCGCCTACCAGGAATCACCTGTGCATCATCAACATCCTTCACACCGACCAGATCTTTTGGTGACCATTCAGCGTTTTGGAGTGAGCTTCTTCCGTTTTCTTCAGGAAAACCATCCACTCTTGCTGACCTCCTATGGAGGCTGAGTATATGCATGACCTCGAAACAGACTGAGTTGGCACATACATGATGTCAGACTGTTCGTGATTGGTCCTCCGATCCTCGCCTACAACCTGGAGGTACCAGGGCGCATGACTACCTCTGCAGGAAATATCCATGGAGATGACAAATGCTCCATAAACGAGAGCAGTTTGCACCACTCACTGGTAAAGGCACGGGTGGTTGCCTTCCGACGACTCTCTTCCAGGCCCTGCTGCGTGTGGTTCAACTGTTTCTCCAAAAAAAAAAATACGAACATATCAACACGTCGTTAAGGTCGTTTCCGTTTGTTAGCAAGTCCCGGAGTCGACTCTCTACTCGAAGCCCCAGACTTTCCGCCTGAGGTGAACTGAATCGTTCTCTTACCCGCAGCTGCCAGGCTTTTCTTGGAGGCTGAGTCCTGCTCGCGTAAAGTTTGCTGACTTCGGAGTAGTTCCTCCTTGTAGGCAAACGAAGGAAATCCTAAAGGATCCCAGAACTCCCGTGGCAGAGAAGTTCTGTACTGGTCGTCTGCCTCCAGCCCTGCTCGAGCCATCATCGTAGCCAGCAACCCGGGATTGCGAAAGGTAGACTTCTTGGCCAAGTCTTCGTTGAAATGCACCCCTTTAGCCTTGAGCTCCAAAAAACGCTTGAATTTTGCGTCCAATGCAGGATCAGGAGAACCTGGGGGCGAAGGCGGGATGGCCGTCATAGGATATGTTGTCTGTGTGAGAAGGTGGATAGTTTCGCGTTCAGATATATTCGCAGAGATTTCTGCAGGCGAATCTTGTTGCTCGATAATCTCGTCGTTGTTGCGCATTTGATCTGGCATGGCGGGACCCAGCATTGGCCCATTGTCAACGCTCATAGTTCCATCTGTCCCCTCTCCTGGCTCTGTTGTCGAAAATCCTTTTTCGATACTGCTGCTAGCAACGCCATCAGTAGGAACTGTTAAGTCGGCTGGTTTTCCCTTGGAGGATGCAATGACTTTAGCTTTGGGAGGGGACGGCTGTTCTTCATCGCTGCTGCTTTCGTAGCTGACAAGCCCACTCATCTTTGGCTTATCTGTTACCCGCTAGGCGGACTGAACGCAGATTGATGGGTGATGAAACATTGAATTCAAAGGCAGAGGCTGTTGTATTGAGAGGTCGAATCGACAACAGCAAAATGTGGCGTTCGTTTTCCTCTTGGCGGGCACCAGCCACAGGAGCGGCGGTGCAGCTAGGCGGAGAGCGCAGTTGCGTACGACCATTTGCGTGCCCGTCATTGATGAATTAAAGATCCAGCACCTCGAGCTCATTTTCTGTCATCTACTCTCAGACATTCGATTCTTCTCATAGCCATGGCCGCTCTACTGAATTCAGAACATATACCGTCGGATCAACCAGGCTACTCATTTGCAAACCACGCTGCCTCAGGGCAGGAAGCCGCAGGGCCCAAACAACATGCCTTCTACCCGTTCGTTTGCCATTGTCTCGTAAGATACTGATGCTTGACTGACCTTGCAACAGGTACACCGACAACGGCGGGTCTACACTTGGTATTACCGGCGCAGACTTTGCTATCCTCGCCGGCGACACGCGATCCACCTCCGGCTACAACATCAACTCTCGCTACGTGCCCAAGCTCTTCCGCATCGGAGAAGACGCCTCTGATGAGCAAAGCTCGCGGATCGTACTTGCAGTTGTAGGCTTTGCAGCCGACGGCAACGCCCTGAAAGAACGCCTCGATGCCATCGTCAAGATGTACAAGTATCAGCATAACAAACCCATAAGTGTGAAGGCGTGCGCGCAACGACTTTCTACAATCTTGTATCAGAAGAGATTTTTCCCCTACTATGTGCATGCAATTCTGGGTGGTTTGGACGAAGATGGCAAGGGAGCGTTGTATTCATACGATCCTGTGGGGAGTTACGAGCGAGAACAGTGCCGGGCTGCGGGTGCGGCGGCGAGTCTGATCATGCCGTTTCTGGACAATCAAGTCAACTACAAAAATCAGTACATACCAGCGTCAGGCGTGGGTCATGACTTGAAGCAGAGGCCGATTGAGAGTTTGCCCAAGGATGTGGTTGTCGGACTAGTCAAGGATGCATTTACCAGCGCAACAGAACGACATATTGAGGTGGGTGATGGGTTGCAGATGTTGGTCATCACAAAGGACGGGATAGAGGAGACATTCACGCCCCTCAAAAGGGATTAGAACCACAGACGACTCGGCTTCTCGGGTGGTCTTGTTTCTGTATGCATAGCTCGGCGCGAAGGCTGGAGATCCGAAACCACATGGGTTAATCAGCTTTACCTGGGGTCGTCATCAATTGATTCTAGAATCTTTTTTCTTCATTCTTCTTTCCATTGCCAGGATCTCATTGAGGATCCGCGCGTGGTAACGATCATGAGAGGCCCTTCTCACTGCTCTGATGCGAGCCCATCCATCGTCTAGAAAAGCTCAGTGCCGTTTATCATCGCAACACGTCATATGAATTCGTGGGGACAAAAAAAGGCCGTTCGATGCATCGCGCCGTGGGAAATAGTTGAAAAGAACCCCAAAACAAACTCAAAATCTCTCCTTCATCCTCGACGCAACGGTCCGCAGATTTCCATACACCTTGCCCGGCGGGGCGCCCAGGATCAAACTGACCACAGCCTCCCTGGCGATGCGGATGTTCTGAAAGCCGCCCAGAATATGGATCTTCGTGTCAGCCAAGACGACACGGGTCTTTGAGGTGTTTTCGATGGCGAACTTAGTCTTGCCGTCCTTGCCTGCGATGCGGCCGATGGCGCGACCCAGGTGCTCTCCCTGCAGAGTCTTAACGTCCTTGATCTCGAAGGTCTCGATGTACAGGTCGTCCAGTCGCAGCAGGGCGATGGCATCGTCGACGTCGAACCCCAGCGTGAACGCCCGAACGAAGTCTTCGCCCTTCTGCAGCGCCCCCGTGTCGGTCGTGAACCGCGACGTCCGCAGCTCCACCGCCTTCGACTTGATGTTCATCCGCACTTGCAGCTTCAGGTGCTCGACTAGCGGTGGGTAGATCTTCGACCAGCTTTGCTTGAGGGGGGACATGCGGTGTGGTGGTACGGGCACTTTGCGCGATTGAATTCGTAGAGCCGTCGTCTCTGAGGGGGTCTGGGACGATGAGGCAGGAGCGAATCGAGGTCGACCTTCTTCGTCGATTTGCATTGCCGTGTCTGTCTCTTCTTGCGTCTGCTGAGGTAGGCTTTCGGGCTGGGGCGCTGTTATGATGTCCACTTCGATATTTTCTTCATTTATGACGGGCGGGAAAAGGATATTGTGGGGATGGGGTTCGGACTCTACGATTGCCTCTGGAGCAGCGCGCTGCGGCGCCGTCGGAGCAGGCATTTTCTGTCGATTCCTTGCTTGGATTGCTCCTTTGGTCCTTGTAAACTATGAAAGAAGTAGCCGCCCGCTGCTCGTGTCGAGTCTTCGAGGGTTCACTGTTTGCAAGGTGACTCTGGGTGACATTGCGTTCGACGGCTGATGTTCGGGCAAAGAAATAATTTTCTCCGCAGTATTGCACATTTCCCATCTGGTTGTGGGGTCAGCGAGAGGGCACGGAGGGCACTCAGGCGAGCACTACACTATTATTACTGGAATGAAGCTACCAGTCGTTCTCACTGTCAACATGGTCAAAGTGCAAGTTTGAATCCATCAGAACTGCTCTAGTTCATTGGAGACAAGAGCGCCAGTCTTTACCAAACCTATCTAGCTGCTGTGAAAGACCAACAATTGACTCAAAACATCTAGCCTTTTTCGCAAAGCCGTACATGGCAGCTTCAGCTTAGGGGAAACATGCCAAATCAAGACATTGCTTACAATGAAGTCCCAGAATGAGAGTTCCTGCTACCTTCTTGTTCCTGCCCAGTTGGACGTTTATGGGTTATCTTTATCCTGGTGCAAGCTCCCGATATACCCCGCGTAATTCGGCCACCTGATGAGTTTCGCCCTCCATCTCACTTGGTTCAAACACCTGCGTTTGGCCCATCTCCGGCGATGGCTTCTGCATTGTTGAAGGGCTGTTGTGTATGTGAGAAGACTTTGGCTCTGAAGGTGGAGCGCAAGAGATCCCGAGACGGCGGTTTTGCGACTACGATGCGTTCCAAGGAAGTATGCGAGCCCAGCAATAAGACCCAAGCCTACCACGCCTCCCACGACGCCGCCAGCAATAGCGCCAGTATGAGACGAGCCACCATGAGGAGACGTTGATGATGCTGGAGGTGGTACTGGAGATGTTGGGCCAGGCGTTGGGGGTGTAGTGGGATGGATTGGGCCGGCAAACGCTGCTTTTACACAGTTCTGATACTTATTGCGTCCCTGAGTCTGGAGACGAAAAGGGCACTTACCGAATATTGTTGCCAGTGCCGGATCACTCCACGCTGGCTTGGCATAAATTTGGTTGTAGTATTTCTGGACCAACTGTGCTCGCTCATAGAGTGCAGCTCCCGCGTCGTAGTGGTCCTTCCATTGTAGTTCAGACAGGTCCAAAACCCCTATACCGCTTGCCCATTCATCGTAATCGGCGCCGAATTGATTAAGCGTACTAGGCGGGCAGCCACCGATAGATATCATTTGCCTGTTGCCGATAATGGAACAAGTGTGGCTGCATCTGGGGGTGCTCGTTGTTGCTGGGGTCTGGAACCATCTGAATGCAGGTAGGGAGAGAACATAGACATTCAAGTAGCCAAGCTCATCAGGATAGTTGAGGTCGTAGGTTGCATTAGTCATACCGCCGTACACATATCTGATGTGGTCAAGTCAGCATACATCGGCACGTACATAACGATATACTTTACACTTCGTATGTCTTGCCATCGGATGAAGCCTTTCCCACCGTAAAGAACTCGGTCCTTGGGGGAGGAATGTCTCCGGTAGCTCGCTGAATATACCATTTCTTCGCGGATACGTCATACAGCACAATCTCTGCCATATCGCGCATCGACGCATCTTGCTCAAATGTGAATGTTTGTCCACTTGGGTTAGTACCTCCGACTGCAATCACAAAACCTTCTTGACCGAAATTCGGAGCAAATTGAGCCTGCACCTGATTGAAGTATGGGGAGCTGCCTGGAACGCCACCTGTAGAATTGCTCTAACGCTCGCTTGATGGGTAATGCTCCACCAAACCCGAGAGAATGTTGTTCGGGGTAAGAGAACCGCCGCCAGCGATAGAGCCTTTCAAGCTGTACAAAGTCGAGTTGCCCACGGCCCAGGCTGATGCCCAAGGGACATTAGACCCGAATGATAGCCCATTTGTTGCAGGCGCTACTTCTTGGGACCAGTATGGTAGTCCGCCAGGTTCGTAAGACCAAAGATCGGAGTCCAGTCCGAACTATTGTATGCCCAACCACCGTATTTTGTAGACTTTGCCTGTGCTATCATCGTACCAAGTTACGGGTCATCTGCGATGTGGCATGTTCGGGTCAGGATCGGAGTGGTTGGCAATATAAACGGAGACGTTGGTCCATCACTGGGAGAGGTCGACTGAAATGGTGGGCCAGACTGCGCCAATCACCCTCGTCGGGCATCCGTTTCGCTGGGGGTGTGAACGCAACGGTAGAAAGATTTCAATGTCCCATTATTAGTCCACCCCCATGCCTCTCCATCCGATATATAGAGCCAGTTGCCAACAACAACAGCTGAGACGTTGTTAATAAATAGCCGGACACCGGAGAGGCTGCATATTACAGGATTGCCAGAACCATTCCGAGATCGTCTGTCGCAATAACCCGCCTTGGACGCTGTAGACGGCTAGGAAAGCCGCGAACGGTATCCAGAACATCGTAAATTAAATAAAGTCGGAGAGTTTAGGTGGGAAAGACCCTCTGAAGGAGATGAGACTGCCAGACGAACGGCATTCTAGTGGAAGGCTGCGGAGCTTTATTTCTGGTCACCTGCACTCGGCTTCTACGGCTGAGAGGCATCGAGATGCAGTCGACTATGGAAATATGGCAATCGTCACAAACATCTGGTAACAGCACATTGGATGATGTTTGCGCCATATGATTTTGTCCCGTTTTTCCGGCCCCTAGTTGAATCGGATTTGCTCACTTGGGTATAAAGTGAAGTCGTGGCAGCACGTATAGATATGGATCGCAATTGGCCTTTCGCTTTGACTTTGATGCTTGTGTTGGAGCCGTTCCGTTGTCTTGTTCTAGAACTACTGCTAATTGGCATTGTAGGAAGCTTTGACCGTTTTGGTGACTGAAAAATCAGACGATGCAAACTCAATATCAGGCTTTCTGGAGTCCAAGTGCCCAGATCGTCTTGACCGCCGTCATTTTGAACGCAGAGCTAGGCGAAGCGTGTCGAAAACCGCATCAGTTCTTCTGTGCAAGTACTATCTCGCTGTGTACCGTACTCGGTACTCGGTACTCCATGCAAGTTCAGAACTTGTTCCTCTTTTGCCGATCCTTTAGCCAATGATTGGATCTCAAGGTTTCACCGGTCTGCCTGTTTCAATCGCTTGTCGAGCAGCCGGTTTTACTAGCAGCTCCCAGCGCTCGTTTATTCGAAATCTGCAGGGCCAGCCTCACGGTCAAGTCAGATGTGAACGTAGTCAGTGTACCATCGCTCTTAGAACAGTTCGACTTGGAGAGGAATGCAAAGTGTCATCAGCCAAATAATCCATAGAATATGTGGTCTGCATGGGGGGACTCAGCGAAAGCAAGGGTATCTGCATCTCTGTTCTCCCAAATGGAGGCCTGCTTGCTGGCTTCTTTCCAGTGATTCCTTTCCATCTTTAGTCTCTCCCACTACATACGCAGATTAGGGACCTTCGAGGTCGGTTTACGGGAGGGAAATGCGAGAGAAAGGGATTGGGGCTCATTTTGTCAGTCTCCCTTCGTTCTCAGGCAAGAGGAGTTCGGCCAGGAGGCTAGCCATAGCAGTAGGAGTGCGTTGATAGGAGGAAATAATCTGAGGGATCGAATACTGTACAAAGAGTGACAAGAAGAACTTCAGGTTGTTGAAGCTGCTCCTACCTGTATTTACATAAGACAAAATGTCATGGGTGCTTTGTGAATAGACAGGCTCAGGGCAGTCATGGCGAGGTGCAAGTCAAGTGCAAGTTTCTCCGCATTTGCACAAGTGATTGTGGATCTCCGCATCTACAGAAACTTGCATCATCTTGCACATGGTTTTGTCTCTTGCACTCGCCATCTTTCCTACACGCCATCTGTTAGGGACAACCACTTCTGCCCAACCAGGGTTCTATTTATCCACCGGCCGTCATGGTCTTTCAATCATGGTAGAGGCCTTCGTCCAGGGCACGCGCGATGTCTCGAGGATTGCTGCTCTCGCGCCGCTGCGGGCGACAAAAATCGTCCGAAAGCTCCCAGCGTCCTCCGACCGAAGCTTCAGATACCACATACCCAGGCGGATATCAAACCTGACGACCCCGAAGAATACCACAAGCCAACCGTGGCAGCTTGGCAATCTTCCTGTTAGGACTCGATCACCTCAGGTCAAGATTCTTTTGGGGCAAGGCGTAGAGTCACGGTGGAAGTCGAGGCCAGTCTGGCTGGGAGACCTTGTTAGAAAAAATGAACACATCTCAAGTTCTGGGTTTTTGGGACTCCAGAACAATTGGAAGCACGTCAGGGACAGTCAACATAGAGAATCGCCCTCGATACAGTGGCGAGAATTCCATACTACTCGCTTCGCGAGAGACGGAGCAGACAAAGAAAGAGAAGGGCACGCAAAACAAGAAAGAGCAGAAGGTGCGTCAAAATCAGAACAGACTCAGGGCGGAGCCTCTCAGTCTGGTTCGGGACAGCATCATTCCCATCAAAGTCGTTTCTACGATAGACTGCACATGCCGCAGTTCCACCGTCCTACGAAGGAAGAACTCCTGGCTGCGGCCACAGGTTTCTGGTCTCGCCTCAAGGTCCACTTTAAATGGTTCACCATCAAGAGCACGAGGCCTTTCAATCTGGATGAAATTGTCGGATTCATCTCGTGGATCGCGTTGGGCCATGTCGTCTGGATCGTGGTCGGCACTACCACATTTGTTTCTCTCGCCATTCTAGCTATAAATACCGTCTTTGCGCAAGAAACGCTCGCTGGTTGGATCGGGAACTATTTGACAAAATCATCTGGCCTCCAAGTCGTTTTCGAATCGGCCATTGTTCCCAAATGGGGTGATGGGGTTATCACATTCAAGAATGTATTTGTCTCCAGAAGACCCGGCCGAGTGCAATCCCGCGTCACCAAAGGATCCCCAGTGGCAGCTGCTCAAGCATCGTCGACTGAAGATCCCGTGCCTCCAGAAGAACAGAACTACACTCAGTTTGACATCACAGTCGGGGAAGTCAATGTAACCCTGTCGTTCAGCAAATGGTGGAACTCCAAGGGCCTATTGCAAAATGTGGAAGTCAAACACGTTAGAGGAGTCGTCGACCGGACTCACGTCTTTGCAACTGGTGAAGATATCGATCCAAAAACATTTCGACACGAGCACAACCCTGGAGATTTCGAGATCGAGTCTTTCAAAATCGAAGATCTTTTGCTGACAATCCTCCAACCAGAGGGATTCCGCCCATTCCCTGTCAGCATTTATAATGCAGAACTACCTCGTTTGCGGAAGCAGTGGCTGTTCTACGATTTCCTCTGTGCGAACAACATCACGGGAGAATTCGACAAATCTATCTTCACCATCCATCCGCGGCAGACACACTCATACACAGGCACACAACTCAACGACCCCGGAGATCCATCCAACGAACCTTGGAAAAAACAATCACGAATTCGTATTGATGGCATAAATATCGATCATATAAATCGCGGGGCGGTTGGCCCCTTGTCTTGGATCCATGAAGGAAACGTTGACATTGTGGCGGATATCATGATCCCTAATGATAGCGAGGAATCCGTCATGAAAGTCATGGCTGATTTCTACGAGAGGATGGAAGCCACTTTGACGTCGAGGAAACATCTCGAACAGCAGCGTCTAGGCGAAATTTCTCCGGACGATGAGCCGATCGCCTCCGGTGGAGTCGTGTTGTCAATTCCAAACTCACAAGCAGTGAGAGAAGAAGACAAGCGATTCATAGTAATGGATCTCCGAATCCACCTGAATGATGTTCGCGCCGTTGTCCCGATTTTCACCCGCGATCTATCATACATCAACAACGCTCTCATCCGTCCCATCGTCGCCTACATCAACTCCCGAAGGACGTTCATTCCAATCAACTGTCGTGTGGTCAAGCGTCTCTCAGATTTTGATGGGAGCTGGACCGTATTTGATTCCGGATTGATGGATGATTTGTCGGCCGAAGTGTACGACGCCTTCGCGCGAGATGTCACTGATGAGCAGGCTCGGTTGAGGCGATTCAAGAAAGTTGGATTATGGAGTTTGCAGCTTGCAGTGCAGGCCATATTTTTGGTAAGCCTTACCGCGAAGATCGTCCCCCTGTGATTAGGCTCAGCTTACTCTCATGCGCACATGATCTACCAACTAATTGAGCTCAGGGAATGGCTGGGAACATCGCTTGATCCTACACGACGCTCATGAACGGTTTCCACTCTATAATACATGTCTTGAGGATACGCACGCTGTAACAAAAGTGATTGTTTGGGTTTGGCCGTCGCTTCCGCGGAAAGGAAGTTCCTTCAGAGGGCCGGACAACTCCCCTGAGTGGCGTATGGTGTTGTAGGGAAGGGTATATAGTTCACATGCCTCTCCAGCACACTGGGACACTGCAGTTCTCTCCTCTTGAGGTGGCGCACAATGGGAGCCTTTGAGACGTCTGAGCAGAAGAAAACGAAGAGCCCCATCCCCAGCAAGCAGTTAGGTTGTTAATTTTGGTCCTCTTCCTTTCTATCCAGCCCGGTGCCGTCGCGCTTTGTTCTGATAACCTGGTAAATAACGCTAGGCCACCCTAATCCTCTCGATGCATCTCCGTTCGGCGTCACTGCTTGAGCAAATATCGCATCCTAGGTGATATTGTAAGTATTTCAATATTTGGGCCCCACATGGCTTTGCTTGCTGTTGTTGGCATACATAAGAGTTCCCCCTCATCGTTCATGTGGGCCGCAAGACAAAAGCAACCGGCCGAGACGCAGCCCCACGACAGTATGCATTGTGCTGGGAAGGCCTCTATCTATCTCACGAGAAGACCAACAGTAGGACTGGATTCTATCTTTTCTGCTAACTCCGTGTCAGATATACTCAAAAGTTTGGAATCGACAGAACCCGCACCATGGCACCACCCTTTCGAGCCGATCAGGTCGGATCGCTGCTCCGTCCGAAGAGCCTGATCGAAGCGAGGAAGAACTCCAATCTCCAGGGAGCGCGACTCAGGAATGGCCCTGTCGCCGAGCAAGGAGATGATGGGGTTGTCGCTGCCAGCCCTTCTTCCAACGGCGCCGACCTAATGGAAGTCCTCCGAATTGAGCAAGCAAACGCCATCAAAGATGTCGTCGCCGAGCAGCTCACCCGACACATACTCCCCATCACCACAGGTGAGTACGAGCGAGGGATCTTCTATGGCAATTTCTTCGAGTCCCTTTCCGGTTTCACAGTGCGGTACACGCCCATGTCCGACTTCAAGGTCGACTTCCCCACGAACCGCCCCTTGATCAAATGGGGTCTCCCCGGTCGCGACGCGGGGTTCCCTACCGCTAAGAAAGTCACGCTCGAGAAGTCCGCGTACCTGGACGACTGGTTGTATTTCCGCAGCCTCCTGCCGGAGGAGAGGTGGAGGGACGCGAAAATGACGGTGCCGCCGCCCGGGTGGTGGCATATCCAACTCAAGGAGCCCTTTGACCCGGATCTGTTTGAGAATGACGAGGCGCTGTTGCAGGACTTGAGCGCCGCAGTCAGGAAGGAGATCTTGACGCTGTATGAGCACGGCTTGAGGATGGTGCAGGTGGACGACCCGAACCTGTCATTCTTCTGCGACGAGGAGTGGATCCAGGCGTGCCAAAAGGAAGGTGTTGACCTCGAGCGGTTGCTGGAGTTGTACATCAAATCCCACAACGACGCCATCAGAGACTTGCCGGCGGACTTGCACGTCGGCATTCACATCTGCCGTGGGAACTTCCCCAATGGCGTGGGCCTCGCCAGCGGTAGCTATGAACGGATTGCGAGGAAGCTGTTCAATGAGACTGAGTACAGGTTGTTCTATCTCGAGTTCGACAGCCCACGTGCCGGGGATTTTACGCCCCTGAAGTACCTTCCGCAGGACAAGGCGGTGGTCTTGGGGGTGGTGACGACCAAGTCCGCGGAGATGGAGGATCTGGACGAGTTGAAGAAACGGGTTTATCAGGCTGCAGACGTGGTAGCAGAGGGGCAAGGCAATGGGAGGACAAGAGAGGATGCGCTCCAAGATAACCTCGCGGTGTCCCCCCAGTGTGGCTTTGCGAGTGACCATTCAGAAGGAGGGGTCGGGATGACACAAGAGCGCATGTGGGAGAAGCTGGAGCTGGTCAAGAAGCTGGCCGGGGAGATCTGGCCGGGGTGGGATAAAAACAGGAAATAGCTGTTATTGACATTATGTTACAGCCATGGATATATCAAAATGCGCTTGTCCAACATGAAGACATATGCAAGGTTACTTCTTTTTGTCAATCATGGTTATTGGAAAGGTCGGAGCCTATCGCTGGTAGACTCCAGTGTCACCACCATCCAATCCTCGAAGAACGATTCATCCCCCGGCCCGATATGGAAAAAATCCGATCTCCTTTTCGGACATGCATATCTTTGCCTCACCAAAAATTGGATAAGAGGGGGCTGGGCAGCAAGCTACTGCAGCATTCGAAGCCTGTACCTTCTCGCTCATCTATCTGGGCTTTCGCCTTCGCTGGTGCTGACTTTCACGGGGAGTCTAGCTAGCTGCTCTTGTTCTCCGGACAAGCTGTTAGAGATGTTGAAGGTAAATCCCCAGTATATCTCCACTCTCTCGTAGAGAAATTTGGCCAAGAACCTGTCGGGATAGTTCGTGAAAAGCTCCAATCTCTCATATGAAAAGATATTCCAGCAATCTGACGCAACTTTGGCCATCAGGGAAACGCTGATCTGAGACTGATGTTGTGATGCCAATATCGGTAAACTCCTCGCAGGTGAAGTGCCAATTTTCTGGTCGAAGAATCCAAGAGGAATCCAAGATGTTGTCCAACTGCCTCCTGCCAAGACTGTTTGACACTGGACATTTCACTGTTTTGGTGAGAGAGCCAGATCAAGCAGATATGCCTGAAGAGAGGGTCGAATCTAAGCTTCATAGCGACACAAGCAGGCCTAGACCGCGCTGGTAGTTGGAATACGAGCACTCCAACCGTGCCGCAGCATCCTTCTGGTATCTCGATGATTCTGTCTCTAGGATCCCATTTCCGCGCATAAACTTCCAAATATTCTGGACTGTCCAATGCACTGTTAAATGCAAACAATCACCTAGGCGAACCCAGGTAGATTGCTGTTCACAAACCAATCTGTATCTTGTTGAATCAATAGTCTTTGACCTTGAATGCACTGGTTCATGGAATTCTTCAGTAATGCCAGAAGTACATCCCTCTTCATGCGTCGGATGGGACTTTCCTTGAATGCGACTTTGTACTATTGACATGAAAGCTGGTTGCGGTGGATGAAAGTCCCGATTTGATCGCATTGCGGCACGACAGAAGCACAAGACAGATATTCAATGACCAGAAGATAAGCGGTAGTTCAATCTCAAAGTCCATGTTCGTCATTGAGTAGGGTGTCCGTTCGCCCACATTGGATGGACTTATGACAGCCTCTGAGCCATGTCGGTGAACGGGCTAAGGGAGTTCTGTCTTCCGTAAATGGGCCCAAGCAAAGATGGAATGATCGGCATGTCGCTTGATATCTCTTCTTGGGGTCCTATGAATGCTTATTCCGCCCTCACCGCAGACCATCTGCATATGAACGTCAAACATACCCAAAAGGCAGTACCCGATATCCTCCTTTCGCGTGATTGTTCTGTTTGACGCCCATGCCATTCGCTGTGCCACGGAGAAATTGTGCAATGATCCTAATGACAAAGCCATTGGTTGAATACCCGTTATAGCAGTGATGCGCTTCTGCAGCGAGGACTTTGTTCCAATAGGCCTCCACGACCGATCAAAGTTCACTTCACGTGGGATGATGAGTTCCTGTAATGTCCATGCCCTCGTAATCCATACGCTTTGTTCAGAACTCTAGTTAATACTTTGGTCATTCGGTAGAAGGTCAAGGTCAACCAGATGTGCATAGCACTCGGCAGAATTCTTGTACCACGCGTACATGGAGTTGATAGCTTCGGAGAGTTCAGCACTGCTGTTTTGTTCATGCAAGTCGGGTTGCCCTTGCAGGGCTCTCCGAGGGTTCCAGGGAAGTTAGGGGAATGCCCCTTTTTTGGGTCAGCGGCCTTGCCGCCGAGCCCGCCTCACCGCTTAATTCAACTTCAGCTTAGCCTCACCCGAATATGCTCAGGTTGCCCATTCAGGCACCCGATCCCCCTCGTGCAAGATGAATCAAGATCCTCAGCTGGACCGAACTGGGTCGAGCTTTTTCCCCCTGTTGACCCTTACGCTTTGGCTACAACCCATGTCTTAGCATTTAGAGCTGCTTCCAGTGTCACCCAACAGAGGTTAGGCACCTTAGTCACAATTCTTGTGTAAGGATGTTGAGGGGTAAGGAAGGGTGCAAGGTATGAACAGCCGAGTAACTGACAACAGTATACTCGTAGTCAGGTAGATAATTGTTGGGACGCCCTAAGGACGCCCGTGCCAACGATAAAGGAAGGTAGCAAACACGGCAAAGAAGCCAGGGAGGGATAAGCGCCCGAGGGTCGCACACTCGGCTTGGAGTCTCTGTATATCGTGTGAAAACGGAAGGATATCTTAGCGCCCGTTACTTCTATCGATCTGTCTATCACTCTAGCCTCCTCTTACACTTCGGCCCTCCAGGATCAATAGGCGTTTATGCGATCTATTACAAAAGCTCGAAAAGTGGGGCAAGGGCAGAGTGGACGGCGTCGGCGATGCTATTGGGGGGTATAAAAGAGCATTGACTGACGCAAGGTAACATTCTGAAACAGCAAGAACAGGAATGTAGGGTAAACGCTAAAGAGGTAGTGCTGTACAAGGCTGATGGTTGTATAGGTAGCGATAGCAGGGTAATGGCGTTGATACACAGGGTCAAGTGAGGTATTTTTTGCCCAACCGATGCCGAATGCTTATGTATTCTGGAGATGATCGTCATGGTCTGAGTTGGGAGCCAAAAAGCGTGTCCAGGGCTGGCCTAGAAAGATCCAGTGTTGAGGATGTTGAACGTGACCATGCTGCCAATTCCCGCCTCGAGTAGAACGGTTAAACGAAGCTCTTTTTTGCGAATTTAGGGAGCATCCATTTCGGCTAGAGTCTGGTCTCGATGAGCGGACAGTTCGTGGCAATTCTGTTGCGTCGATCTTCTGCCTACAC